GTATTTGGGTAGGATCGTCCTCTCTAGACGCAGATTCTAATCGTCCTGTGGATATAATGGGTTTTTGTTGGGGGGTGGGGTAGAGTTGGGGAATTTATTCATTGTTAAAGGAATATATCTGATCAAAAGAAATCAAGTTTCTACCAGAAAAGGGGCTGAGGGCTGATCCTATGAGGTCCCCCGGCCTTTCGGGCTTAACAGGTGTAATTGTTTGAAGAACTAAGAGTATTATCGTCATATGAATGTTGTCTCCACGAGCCCCGAAGCGAAGACAGGTCTTCTCAAGGCTCGTGGAGAAGCCAGGACGAAACGTCCAGCATGGGACGGCCATGCTGCCCAGCAGATGTATCCCTCTAAGTCAGCATGTTTTTCTGAGATGAGCCGGGAGACTTCCACAGAGTTTGCAAACTCACACACACGCATGGCTGTGAGGTGTCTGGCTACCAAAACACGTCCACATAAGCACGTGCCCCGTCCCAGCTCCTAGGACTAGGAAGATTAGCGGGGACAGTGTCACAAGCCTGGATCTGGTACAAAGCTGCCCACTCTTTTGGACAAATCAAAGGGATGAAGGGTGTGTTCTTAGGGAGCGTTAGACTTTTATCACTGCAGAAAAAAGGATGACTTCCCCGGGGTTGTGGCTTTGGTTTGGGATGACACGAAGAACTGAGCAGTTTGTTTGTTTATTTATCTATTTGTTTATTATTTATTTATCTTTAATGTTTATTTATACTTTTGAGAGAGATAGACAGAGCATGAGCAGAAGAGGGGCAGAGAGAGAGAGAGAGAGAGAGGAAGACACAGAGTCCGAAGCAGGCTCTAGGCTCTGAGCTGTCAGCACAGAGCCCGATGTGGGGCTCGAACTCCCGAGCTGCGAGATCATGACCTGAGCCGAAGTCAGATGCTCAATGGACTGAGCCACCCAGGCGTCCCAGAACTGAGCCGTTTTTTAGGAATCACCTTGTTCTCAATTTGTCTTTCAACTTGTCTCACAAGAGACTGAAGGTGGCCTAAATACACAGCCCAAAGACTAGGAAAGGGAGGTCCCCAGTGATGCCAACAGAATGGCCTTGAGTAGAGATGCCTGTGCATCTCAGTCTTGGAAAACTGCCTGTTTAATCGACCCTATTCCATAATCTCAGTCTTGGAAAACTGCCACCGGCCTTGGCTTTTGTCAACCATCGAGATGCCCTAGGAGACCCCAAAAATTCAACCAACTCTGAGAAAACAAGTTCTGTGAACTTTAGAACGCCTCTCAGTTGAGAGGCATTGCCCTACACTCCCAGCTCTATGCTGCAAAGAGATGATAATTGTTTTCAGCATTTCCAAAAGGCCATTCCAGGGAATATTATTCCAGCAATTATGGAAGGGCACCGCGAAAAGAAAAGTCACCTATGTTCATGCAAGTGTGGAAAATACATAGTTAAATAGAGTGAAGCAGTTTATTTTCTACAGGCTTTTTCAGGGCTTCTCAAAACCTGCTATCCTGAATTGTGCATCTCTAAGAGGGAGACCGTGTGTATATTTTAAAAGTAGGCTCTAAGGCAAAAGGTAGGCGATGCTTCCATTTTGGGGTTATATCAGTAACACACCGTCATTGGCACATTGTTTCAAGCTGCAAAAACACAGGCATGGATTTGTGTACTTAGGTGACTGTGTATAAATAAGAAGCAAACATATCCCATGTGTAGGAGGAAAGGATTAATGGGGGGCAGAGGTGGGGAGGAGATTTAGAAGCCAGCCACCCCTGATGGAAGGTCAATTGTCCCTGATTCTTTAAAAAAATTTTTTTTAATGTTTATTTATCTTTTGAGAGAGAGAGAGAGAGAGAGAGAGAGAGAGAGAGAGAGAGGCAGAGTGTGAGCAGGGAAGGGGCAGAGAGAGAGAGGGAGACACAGAATCCGAAGCAGGCCGCACAGAGCCTGACACGGGGCTCGAACTCACGGATGGTGAAATCATGACCTGAGCCGAAGTTGGACGCTTAACCGACCGAGCCACCCAGGTGCCCCAATTGTCCCTGATTCGAATTCTGAATTCCTGGGTGACCCCTGCAGGATCACTGCACATATCCAGTTCCGTTTCCACACAGACACAAAGCAGGAATTTCAGTAAAGTCATCTCAGACTTTTCTTACAAAATATCGTAAGGATTAAGCAAGCCTATGCTGTGAAAATGTTTTGAGCTCTGCGGTCAAGTACACGACCTAATGACAGGGTATCCGGCCCTGACCACCAGCAGGGTTAACCGAGGGGTTTGCAGGACAGGCACAGAGTACTCGGGCAGGACAGGGGAGGGCTGACACCCGGGGATGATCGGGAAGAGTCATGCCCTGTGTGCACACACAGGTAGATAGGCATGCTGCGCCCTTGGGGGACAGTGGCTTATGTCCCCAGAGGAGAGGACAATCCCGAAGACTTGAAAAGACAGAAAACCTAGAACAATAAGCAGGTGGCCTCTCTTCTGTGGCAGGTGGTCACAGCCAGCCGACCTTCAGCCAACGCATTAGCCCTGGGGTCTTCCTGTTCACTGGTCCTGGGGGTGGGGGGCGGTTATGGGACTTGCCCAAGGGGTTATTTTCATAGAGCCGGCTAAACACTCCCAAAGGACCAGACTTCCAGGAAAGGGCTCATCTTAAAAGTTTATTTATTTATTTTTCCAGTTGGTGGTGACGGCAAGCCTGTGAACACTGGGCACGTAGGCAGTATCCTTCGTCCAAGTTTTAGGATTCCTCATTCCCGTTGCTGAGTCATCGGGTTGTCTTGGAATCTGAGGGGAGAAGGGCTGGGAGGCGGGGCGGCCGCGGAGAAGCCGGACCTTTTTGAGCAGAGCAGGAGCGCCACCTTGCGTTGCAAGTGAGCGCTGCAGGCCCTGCTGGTGGGATTAGCAAATTCGGAGCTGGGAATCGGTTCCCTTTGGCAACAAGCTGACCAGTAAGGCCTGGGTTTACCCCTGTGACACCCTGAATTATTTTTCTAATTTTTTAAAACGTATTTATTTACTTTGAGAGAGGCAGTGACAGCGTGAGTAGGGGAGGGGCAGTGAGAGAGGGGGAGAGAGAGGGAGAATCCCAAGCAGGCTCTGCACACAGCCCGAGATCATGACCTGAGCCCGAACGGAGAGTTGGACGCTTAACCGACCGAGTCACCCGGGCGCCCCATATTTTTAACAAAAGGTGGTGTACTGGGGCACCCGGGTGGCTCGGTCGGTTAAGCATCCGACTTGGGCTCAGGTCATGATCTCACAGTTTGTGGGTTCAAGCCCCACGTGGGGCTCTGTGCTGACAGCTCAGAGCCTAGAGTCTGCTTCCAATTCCTTGTCTCCCTCTCTCTGCCCCTCCATCGCTTGTGCTCTCTCAAAAAATAAATAAACATAAAAAAAAAAAAGTAGTGTATTGGTCACAATTGTTCAGAGGAAGACAACCAATAGAATATGTATGTATCCTGTTAAGACTTTAAGGACTTAGCTCGCACAGTTGTGGGGGATGGTAGGTTCGAAATGGGTAGGGAATGCCAGCGGCCTGCAAACTCGGGCAGGAGTTGATGTTACGGTCTTGAGGCAAAATTTCTTCTTAAGGCCTTCAACTGATTAGACGAGGCCCACCCACACTAACCAGGGTAATCTCCCTTACCTAAAGTCAGCTGATGGTGGATATTAACCACACCCCAAGTTACCTTCACAGCAACACCCAGGTCAGTGTTTGATTAAATAACTGGGCATTATTTGACACTTAAAACTAACCACCATGATGAAGGAGCGTGGGGCAAGCTGAGGGCAAAATACAGGCTAATAGCACCCCCCCCCCCCCACCAGGGGGAATATGTATGACATTCCTCGGACACTCCCAGCTACCCAAGAACAAAGGAAAGGGGTTTAAGTGCTTCCCGAGGTGATGTGGGAAACTAAGGCAAATGAAAAATTAAATTCCCTTACTGCCTACAGCCCATTGACAGACAAGTCCTTGAAACAGGCAGAGTGACCTCCCTCTGGGAGCTCGGCTGCCTCCGTGAGGACGCTTTGCTGGGGGACAAAACAAGAATCTTAGCTTCACATTATCCCAACCTCGAGGATCGTGCAAGTTTACTTGAACACATAAAAATTCCTTTGGAAACTTCCTTTATCTCAACTGCCCCGAGATATATGCCCGCAATCAGACTCCAAGCTTATGCCCTCCCCCCACCCCATATACATCTGAAGGGTCCCATGACTGAGGTTTTATTAAATGGTAATAACTGGTGTTTCCCTAGCAACAGCTAGCCCCTCAAAGTCCTGGAAACCTTGCTTCCGAACTACCTTAGAGACTTACTCTATCCCTGACCCCCTCCCAACCTGAGGGCGTGTAGTGAGTTACCCGTCACGACCCCAGCGCACTGGTCCTGTCCCCGTGCTTTGATAAAATCACCCTTTGGCACCAAAGGCATCTTCAAGAACTCTTTCTTGGCCGTCAGCTCCAGACCTCCCCCCCATCACCCCAAAACTTCATTAATCATTAGGTAAAGGGGAGTCTCAGTTAACAGCTCTCTTTCAGGTACAGGCTCTCCTTTCTAATGCAGATTTCGGCAGTTGAGGGGGAAGCAGAGAGCTTTTCCTGCACCTGCTGGGTTTTGTTTACTTTTTTTTAAATTTAATTTTTCTAATTTACACCCAAATGAGTTAGCATATAGTGTCACAATGGGTTTTGTTTACTTTTAACTTGAAATAATCTTTATGCCAAAGGGGCCCATCTTGGAGCAGCCTGCCCTTGACCCCTATGGCAACATTAGCAAGACGGGAAAATGTATTTTTTAACATTAACAGTATGAATTACTCTTCACTTGTTTCATTGTCATACGAAGTCAGCAACACTCGGGTCCCTTTAGGTACATTGCCATTTCTAGTTATTCCTTGTAACATTGCATTAGATTCTTTTTTTTTTTTTTTTTTTTTACGTTCATTTATTTTGAGAAAGAGAGAGACAGAGCATGTGAGCAGAGGAGGGGCAGAGAGAGAGAGAGGGAGAGAAAAAGAATCCCAAGCAGGCTCCACGCTGTCAGTGCAGAACCCGACGTGGGGCTCGAACCCACGAACTGTGAGATCATTGATGAAGTTATGCGGTGATGGCGGGGTTCATGGGGCTCAGAGCTGGCGGCCAGGAGAGAATTCTTGAAGATGTCTTTGGTGCAAAAAGGTGATTTTAGTGGACCACGGGGACAGGACTCATGGGCAGGAAGAGCTGCCTGGACCCTGTGGAGAGACAGGTTATATATTTGGGACTCGGGGGAGGTAAAGCCCAGGGGGAGTTTCCAGTGGGATTTTCATCTCCTAAAGAGGACTCACAGGCTACTGGAGCCCCAGCTGTTGTCCCGCTGAGGTTGTTTTTCCCTCTGGCAAAGCATTAGCGTTAAGACCCTAGGGAGTTCCTGGACTTCAGGCCATTGATGGGATTGCCTTTATCTGGTAAACCGGTGGGCAGTCTTCTCTGTTTAACCAGTGGTTTTGTTGTCCTTTCTTGCTTTTTGGGGTAGCGGGGAGTGTCCAAGGAGTATCACACATATCCCACCTGGGGACATGCACATCAGCCTGTCGCATGCTCCCTCATCCATCCCACGGAGTGAACTGGTTACCCCGGGGAACTCTCCCATTTGACTCTGATGAGGGAGCGTGAGACAAGCAGAGGGCAAAGCCCAAGCTAGCAACATCCCCCCCCCCCCCCCCCCCCCCCCCGCCCCCCACGACAGTGGGTTAAGTGTGATATTCCCCAGGCACTCCTAGCTGCCCCAGAACAAAGAGAAGGGGGAAACACAGATAGTTAACTGATAGAGATTCAGTCTTGCTAGGCGCCATCAGTTTACGAATACCTTAGTAAATTACAAGAAAAGGGCCATCTTCTCAACAGCCTAATTTCCGGAAGCCTGTAGACTCAGTTCCCTGGAGCCCCTGATATCACCCTCTCCTCCTCGGTGATGTGGGGAACCAAGGCCAGAAGAAAATGGCAGGTAACATTTCCTTACAACCTGCAGCCCATTGGCAAATACGGAGTGTAACTAACGTTTCTCTAGGCGCTCCCTGCGGTCTTAATGCTAATGCTTCCCTAGAGGGAAAAACAACCTTAGCTTGACAATAGCTAAGCCTCCAGGAATCTGTTAGCTCTTCACACATGGAAATCTCTTTAAGAAACTTCCTCAGGGCTTTATCTCCCCCAGCCCCCAAGTGCCAAGTGTATAACCGGTCTCTCCTCCGGGTCCTGGGGAAGCTCTTCTTGGCCCGGGTCCCGTCCCTGTGCTTTAAGAAAATCACCTTTTTTTTTTTTTTTGCGCCCAAGACGTCTCAAGAATTCTTTCTCGGCCTTGGCTCCAGAACCCCCATCACTCCAAACCTCATCAATTGTTAAAAAAAAAAAAAAAAAAGAAAGAAAGAAAGAGAAAAGGAGTCTACAGTTTTGATGGGTTATTACCTCCTATGATGCTTTAAATGAGGCATTTGCAGGCCTGAACACTGAGAATCCCTCCTGTGGAGACCCTCAGGCAGCGCAGAGGAAAGGGACAGGAGACGAACAGGAGTCCCACGGTTGGTTCTTACTGGAGAGAGAAAAAGAAGACATTGGATCCTAGTTGGGGCTCTCTGGCCAGGCCGGAAAGTCCCACAGGATCAGCTAAGAGAGAAGGCGGAAGTTACAACCTTTCTACGGATCACCATTAGATCTAATTAGAAACAGAAGTAGAAATAATTAGCAGAGTCACCTGCTAGTTTCTAAACTCCTCCCCGAATCGTGTCCCCCCAAATTCTTTTTTTGAAATCCTGACCCACCCCCCCTCTGGATACAGCAGGGTGTGACTGCAGGCTGACGAGGCCTTTAAAGAGGTGGTTAGCTTGCAACGAGGTCATTACGGTGGGTCCTAAGTCAATGACTGGTGTCCTTGTAAGAAGAGGGGGTGAGGACACAGACGGACGCAGGGGGAAGGCTGTGTGAGGACAGGGAAGAAGAAGACGTCAAGGAAGCCAAGGAGAGAGGCTTTGGAATTAACCGCCTCTGCCTACACCTTGATCTCAGACTTCCGGCCGTCAGAATCGTGAGCGAGTTACATTTTGGTCGGTTGAGCCACCCGGTGGGTGATCCTTCACCACGGCAGCCCTGGAGAATTAATAAGCGAGGTAGCGCAGCGTGTCCTGAACCGTTATCTGCTTCCACTTGTGTAGGCTGGTAGCATTGATGAGGATTTTGGTGGCCTGGCATTTAAAAATTCTCTTAGGTTTCTGTGACTGTGGGGTCTAACGGTCGCGTGATAGGGTTGAGGGTGCATGACTAGCCCATGAAGTTGCAGGAAGCCTTTCCGTACTGCCCGTAGTGACACCTGTATTTACGTCGTTACTAAGACACACGCGTTCCCGCAGAGGTGCTGAGAATTTCCATTCCAGGAAGCAATGCTTTCCTATATTAAAGACCGACCGGGATGCCAGTTTAGAACGAGCATGCTCATGGTTACCACTAGTAATGTGGGTCGGTGCTACCAGCTACTCAGGGCTTGGGGTAGGTCTGTAGGGCTTCTAGAGCTTCCCTTGGGTGACTGCCACTAAGATACGATGCTCTTAGTCTGCTCAGATTCCTACAACAGACTACCACAGACTGGGAGGGTTATACACCACAGAGATTGATTTCTCAGGGTTCTGGAGGCCGGGAACTCAAAGATCAAGGCACCAGCAGACTCGGTGCCCGGCCAGGGTCCTCTTCTGTGTTCACAGATGGCTGTCTTCTTGCTGTGTGACCTCACATGGCAGAAGGGGTGAGGGAGCTCTCTGGGGTTCTTTTCTCTTTTTCTTTTTTATGTTTATTTATTTTAGAGAGAGAGGGAGACACGGAATCCGAAGCAGGCTCCAGGCTCTGAGCTGTCAGCACAGAGCCCCGCGTGGGGCTCGAACCCACAAACCGTGAGATCATGACCCGAGCCGAAGTCGGACACGCAACTGACTGAGTCACCCAGGCGCCCCATGCAAGGGCTGCGCCCTCATGATCTAAATACCTCCCAAGAGCCCACCCCCTACTCCCATCATATCAGGCAATGGGATGTCACACATGATTTTCAGGAGGACACAAACATTCAGTCTATATGGCAACTAAAGAATAAGCCATTGAGTTTATTAAAATACAAAGGATAAATATAACAAATGTAGTTGTTAACACTTGCTTGGTGCAGGTTTTTTATGTTTACTTATTTTTGAGAGGGGGGGAGTGGGGAGGGGCAGATCTGAAGTGGGCTCCATGCTGACAGCAGGCAGATTGACACGGGGCTTGAACCCCCAGACTGTGAGAATCATGACCTGAGATGAAGTCGGATGTTCAACAGACTAAGTCACCCAGACGCCCCTACTTTCTGTGTTTTAAAGAAAGAATGAAACTTGCAAAAACAATAGTGTATTTTTGGTTACAATCATTAGCACAACCCCGGTCCTGCCTGGGCAGAGGACCCAGACTGACCATCAGAGACTCAGGGATGAACACATACGTCTCTCTCTTCCCCTGTTTCCAGACTGGGGATTGCACACAGCCTTGCGCTCAAATCCTTTTCTTAGGGCTCTTCTTGGCTCTTCTGTATTTGTCAGACTTTGCCATTTGGCTCTCTGTTCGAAACTTACGTTAGCACCGTTGTCTTTCAGAGAGATAACCATCCTCCCTTTTCCAATTCTCTGGCTTCTCCCTGGCCGTTTCCGCCTTGAAAACACTACCTGAGTCAGAAAGGAAATGACCGTGTGGCATTGCCATGCACAACTGCCTTCAGGAACATCCACGGGGTCTCCCGTGGGTCTCCCGACCTTCCCTGTCTTTGGAAGCTCGAAGCTGCCCCTGTCCCTGGGTGTTTGTGGGCTGTGTGTGGAAAATGCCTGCCTTGTGTGCCTTTCCTCTTCCCGCTGACATTGCCCAGCCCACCGAGCCCTGCCCGGGGAGCCCGTGAACCAGGATGTGATTTCCGAAACGCCTTCCTAAGCATCCCCATTCATCAGCTCATTGATTTTCTTCCTGCAGGCTTTGCAGGTATTTGCTGCAGGTAAGGAAGGAGTAAGGAAGAACCGGACATGATGAAGAGGCTCCCATCTGCTGGGAAGACAGAATGAAAAGTACCCCGGCCTCCAGGAGCTGAGGTCAGAACCCGAAGAGAGGGGCTATCTGTCATATGTGTAGCGGAAGACAGGTAGCGAGTGACAGAGCCCCAGCTTGAAAAGGTCGACAGCTGAAGAAGAAACCAGGCAGGGGAAGGAAAACCTTCTGTTTGGAAAAGCCCATTAATTACCAATCGACAGAGGAGTCTTGAGATTGATATGTGACCAGATGTCCTTCTGTTTCTGTTAACAGAACTAAAAACTCCCTGCTTAAAAAAAAAAAAAAAAAAAAAGGCAAAAGGGTTAAGAGAGCAAGCTTAATAATGGAGATTGAGATTCCCTTGCCTCCCCCATAATACCAAGGGGCCCCAAACATTCTCAGGCCCACCTGATTTGGGAAACTGTGTCGATCAGCATTTTATTTTGCAGAGAGAAAGGGAGTTTAAGACTGTCTCTCCTTGGGGCACCTGGGTAGTTCAGTCAGTTAAACGTCCCGACACTTGGTTTCGACTGGGGTCGTCGTCTCACAGTTCGCGAGTTTGAGCCCTGTATCGGGCTCTGTACTGACAGCAAGGAGCCAGCTTGGGATTCTCTCTCTGCCTCTCTCTCTCTCTCTCTCTCTCTCTCTGCTCCTCTCATGCTCGCTTGCTCTCTCTGTCTCTCAAAAGTAAGTAAATAAACTGAAAAAGTCTCTCCTTTTCCACTTGAGCAATAAATGTGTGCAGAAGTCGTTCTAGTCAACAAGACTGTACCGGCTGCATTAGCTTCAAAGTCAAAGACAAGAATGAACAATCCATAAGAAAGGAATATGCTTATGAAGGATAGCCTAGAAGACCCTGAGATTCACATGCCCTGGAGAGGGCAACATTTCTCCTTGCCTACGATGTCTATACTCTTTCAAACGCATCAAAAAGGCAAAGTAGTTAACAGCCAAGGAGATTGAGAAAAACTTCTGGGTCCAGGCGTGACCGCAAATGCCCCCTGGAAGGGAGAAATCGTCGATGATACACTTGATTATTGTCAGAATTGGTTCCTTTATGTTCCTCGCCTGGCGTTGAGGCTTCTTCTTAAAGAAGAATGGGACAGAATGAACACGGGGAGGATGAGAAATGATAGACACGCCGTAGGAAGAAGATGAGAGAGAGAGAGCTGGGAACTCAAATTCTCATAAGGCCAAGCAACGACGACCAAGTTCCCCGGGCCAGAGTTCTCTTCCGTTCCGCAGGGGGCCCGCCCCATACTCCATATGCCAACAGAAGGTTAGATTTTAAATCTTGGGGAGAATGAATACCTTGTTGAAAAGGAACACTGGCGATCCCCATACTTCGGATCCCCATACTTTGTGCCAAGTTAGGTGAGACAGAGCACCTCTGGAACCCCTGGAGAGTCCACATCCTAGGGGGATGATGTGACAAGTTTACTTGGGACAATCTTGTCCCAGGGCATCCCCTCAGCTTCTGGATCCTGGACTTGTTTTATTTGTTTGTTTGATTTCAGGATCCTAAAGAGAAAAGCAAACAGAGCCTCCACGCCCTGCAAATGACAGATGTTTAACTCCTCTGAGGCTTTGTTCTTCACCTTAATCACAGCTACACGAAGAAAAACACGAGCAAAGGCATCATCCGTGAGATGAACGCATTGACCCTCTAGAATATTTATAATTACACAGGTACCTGGAGATGGGGGTGGGGGTGGGTGGGAACGGGACTCACCCCCTCCTCCCTGCCCACTTAAATTTCTTATTTTGTCTTGCTGCATGGTAGTAGCAGTTTGTGATCAGAAATCACCCAATCTTTGGGTCAGTGTGGGCAGAAGTGACCATGGATACCCATTTGACTGCAACCGTGCAGATCTTCCCAGAGTAGAGTGGGAAAGAACTAAATGATGGCCGTCATTGGCGTCTAGTGCAACTGCGAACGTTTAAGAAACCCAGAGTAGGTATTCAGGGCATGGGGTTTAATCCCTTTTGTTGTTTGTTTTTCGTTTTTCTTTTTGTTTAAAGGAGCAAAATCCAGGGAACCAAATCCACAGGAAGTCTCTGTGGGAGACGAAGGTCAAGTGGAAAGGGGAAAGTGGCCACTTTATGATGTAGTGCTCGAGAGGCAAAGCAAATTGCATTTCTCCAGGGAGATTTGCTTAACCCTCAGCACGTTCAGACAGGGAAACCCATTTGCAAATCCCCAGACAATGATGGTGGAATGTCCTCCTCCCTCCCCCACCCAACCAGGAAATCCAATACCCTATGCTGGGAACTCAGAAATAAAAAGTACTTATGTCTAGTACGGAAAACATACAAAGGTTTCCGTACAAATTTAAATTTCTCAGAAAGGCAGCAAAGAGGACACCATGACAGATCTCTTTTTCACTGTTCCCTTGCGTTAAGAACTCTTAAGGCTGGAGGGGACTTTGTGAGCCACCCCAACCCGTGTCATTTTACTCAGAAGTCGAGATCTAATCCTTTTTGGAAGAGCAATCTCTAGTGCAA